TATATATATATATATATATATATATATATATATTTGTCATTGTTATTGTCTCTTTTCTGTGAGGCTCTATGGAATTAAATAAGTGGGGGATTTAAATCAGAGTGGGCCCTCCTGTCGAATATCTATCTCAGTATATACAGTATAATTCTGTCCAACACCTGTGATCTGAGCCCCTATTAATAGAAATCCTTTTTAGTTGTTGTATCCATGTAAAAAAATGATTTCTCTAAATATAGGCCATGAATAAAAATGTGTTTTTGTTCCCAAAGTTGTTTAATTAGTTAAATCTGGAAAAAAATGGCCTGCAGAGAAGCTTTTAATGAACTCTATAAAATTATCAGGTAGAAAGCGGGAAGTAAACACCTTTTAAATGAGCTGCAGCCGTTCAAGCAGCATGTTTGGAACCAAATGTTAAACACAGAGGGATCCATCCCTCCTGGTTCATCTCTGCCATGCTCAGTATGCAGAGGGAAATGCAGTGATGTCACCGCGAGGAGACAGGTCCATGATGGCGGAGCAATAAATAGCAGAAACTTCCAAACATCTCCTCAGAGTCCGTCACATTTGGATGTCAGCAGTCGGCGTGGCGACCGCCTGGTGTCAGATGGACATTACACATCAAACAGGGATGTATGAGACACGCTGTATGGGATGTATGGCTGAGCTCATCGCTCACCAATCAGATGCCAGAGATGGAGGAATGTCAGGAATGAAGGGGGGGTCAGTGGGGCGATGATCTCTTAATGATTTAGGAGCAACCAGTTGCATTTAAGGCATTTAAAGGTTGACCGCAGGCATTTTAAGCTAATATTGAACTTTTCATTCACGTTGTTAGGAATCAATCATAGTTCTTCTCTGAACCGGGTCAGAAACACCTTTGATCTAAATCAGAACCCGTCTCCTGTATCGGAGTCTATCTGTTGCCTTTTGTTCTGCAGCACATCAACCTAAAACCTTCTAACTTATCGTTGCCTTCAGTGGACGTTCATGTGAAAACCTTCCGTTGCTTAATTACAGTAGTAGCTATTCAAAATTTCCCCTCTTTCCTTGGCTGGTCCCCTACTGTTCCTTAATAAATATCAATCTTTGCACTAAAATATTCTTTATGTCATGATTTGTGGACATTAAGATCTAAAGAGAAGCGACATCTCCTGGTCAGACCCTGTAATTCAGAGTAAAAGAAATGCAGGCTCAGGTGGCTGGAAGTTGGAGGGGATTTTGCCGGGATTCGCAGGGGAATAGGCTGCCATTCGGCTGGCGTTTGACTGGGAAGGGCCATTTTGAATGGCTGCTACTGTTCAACCCATATTGAAAACTTCATGACACCCACAGGGTGAGAGTCACACATAAAGATGACCAGTTTTCAACAAGGAAATCCCCGTGTAGTTTATTCATTCATCTGGAAACACCTTAGAACTAATAGAAGCGTTTGTTATGCTGCTCCATCCACCATTCACCTGTATCTTTAGAAGGCGAGGGCTTCTGTTCCCCTTAAAGGGGTTGGGGTTGGCGGGAAGGGCTATCTCCAATCATTTTACAGGGGAATGGAAGACCGCGCCTATTCAGCCTTGTTTTTGCTTAGGAAACATGCAAATTAAAACGGACAAAAGGGTCCACCACCTGTATTCTTTGTTAAAAAGGACCAGAATGTTCACATTACGGACAAAGAAGACAGGTCGTTTTAAAGGAGCGTGAAGGAAGCCATCTAAATCAACCTTAAACAACACAATTGAGTTGATTCCTTCCCGCCTGTCATGATTTAATTAAAGATCTGACCCAAAAAATGCAGAAGACCAAAACAGAGAGACCACGGAAAAGTTTAACAGGTTGATTTAGAATAATGTGATGAGTCCAGTGCTGCTCTAAACACTGTCAAAACCGGAACTGGAAGGTGAGGGGAAGACAAAACGATTAGTTCAGGCTCAGTGGGAAATTTCATTCGTGGATTTGGAGAAGAGGATCTGGTTGTAGACTCAAGTTTCCAGAGAAGTTGAAGAATCTTTGAGTGGAATCTGTGTGTTGTTTTCCAGAGTAGTCTGATTCAGTGGAGGGTGGAACAGGGTTTACCCGGAACACGGTCGGCTGTAGGTGAACGGAGAAACTGACTGCCACTCAGATTTCCTGCGGTACTTGAACGGGTCGTAGTGGAGATGATTCCCTTGCTCAGTGTAAACTCAACTTCCTCTCAGGGAAACTGGATCCAAACCTCCAGTTTGAACCCCAGCTCAGTTTGAGGCTCAGTTGATCCTTCCAGGGAGAGAAGGTCCGAAAGATCCAGTTTGCAGGATGACTTCCTGCCGAGAGGCAAAGACAAAAACAAAGTAAAAACTCAGGTTGACAGGAACTTAGTCTTACTCAGCAAAAAACTCAGCTTGGCTGGAGTACCCAAAACTGGCAAACACTCTGGCGTCGTTGCAGGCTAACAAAGAAGCCAAACGACCCCCATTCCAAAGGGGGGGACCCGTTCATCCGTTTCTATTTGCATGTTTTCTAAACTAAAACCAGGCTTTGTTGGGCTGCTGGATAAAACCTGGAACTAAACGCTATTTCTGACATTTTTAATTAAAAAAGCTTCGTGGATGGGAAGAGAAACGTCTTCAGACTTGGAAACAAAGTCCAGAGGATTGATTTTTTAAACTTTTTTGGAATGACTCTTTATCCACGCAAGCCTTACGACAGCAAACCATAGAGTCATGGAACAATGGAGCGTTTTGATCTGAGGTGTGCTGAGGAGCGGGATCCTGATCTTCTGCTCTTCAGAGCAGATTCAGAGTATATTCTGTTCATGTTGTGTTTTAGCGGAGCAGAGGAGTGACTTTTCCTCATATCCCATCCAGGACATTGAGGCGTCCCTCAGAGTGAAACCATTCAGTGACCTGTCAGTGGTCATAATGTTGTGCACAGGCCTCTCTCTCTGCCGATGCTCCAAACTGGCATGAATATCGCTAAAAAACCTCAATCTACTTATTTCTGCTTGTTGATGAAGTGTGTGGCGGGCGCGCTGACAGCTTCGCCGCTTCGTCGGCTTTTTTCAGCAGAAAACAGCAAACAGAAAGCAGGGCGTCCATCAAGATATCACCCTGTGACTTATCTCTGCTGCCGCTCCACCTCATATCTTGGCACAGAGCTGTCATCAGTCCAACAGGGAGGATGACAGCGTCTTCACACTGTTTGTGTGAGCTGCTCGGTCAGCTGCGTACCGGTAGTCGGGTCAGGCGATAAACCCTGAGGGATGTATCATTGGATTCTGTAATTATAAA